CACAAACTCGAAGAAAAAATCGATAAAATTGAGGGAATTCTGGATAAAACACGATATCATTATATTTTACAACGTCATGCCTTTCCATTTGGAAAGAGAATAGTATAAGGTCATGGTTTTATTTTCCAGCAAGACAACGATTCTAAAGCACACGTCAAAATTGTGTAAGAAGTACATCGCGAAAAAAGAGAAGCAAAAAGAGTTGAAATATATGAACTGGCCCCCTCAGTCACTTGACCTGAACCTAATTGAGTTACTACTCAATTTTTATCAACTTTTTAGTATTGCATTTTCTTATTGGCAACTATTTTTACCAATATGAGAAAATACGATATTAAAAAATTCTGAAAAAATTCTTAGAACTATATAAGAAGAAAATAAACAATTTTTGTCTCTGGCAGTTTTTCTGTAAAGTTGATAGTATTTGAGAAAAAAATTATTGAAGACCAATATTCGCGGCAATTTTTAGTAATTAATATCTTGTTAACTATTACGAAAATTGCAAAATAGTAAAGGACTTTTCGACTCAGTTTAGTCCGCTCTATCTATACAAGAGCGCTTGGCAAAAAATTTCGGGACACTGTGTGTGTGTGTGTGTGTGTGTCAGAGTTGGGAACGTTATCTTAAAAAAATAACTAGCATTACCGTTATACACTCAAAAAAATGATCTTGCAGTTGTAGCGAAAATTATCTAGGTACGAAAAATTAGCTAAAATAGATAAACGATTAGCAAGCATTGCGATATTGCATATGTTTTGCACCTAATCGGTATAGATGTCAGAGACAGAATTTATATCTGAACAGCTTATGAAATGTAGAAAGAAAATTTGTCTGTGGCATCTATTCATGTTAAGACTAATCATACTTGTTATAAAGTTCGACTATAATACATATAAAAAATTAGCAAATGAATATATATGATATTTACACCTAATATACTTTGTGTAATGCACCTATTCGTTTAGCTCTTTTAAAAATTGTCATGGTGTCATGTGTGTGTGGCTCTGGCACACCAGCGCAATGCATGACGGGATTTGCGAACGGCAATTCTTGTGAGCGCATTCGCGAAAATACTACTTCAGAGTTCAGATATCGCCTATTGTGTCGGGCATAAATTTATAATCTTTTGTGCCAGGTATAAGTTTATAATTTTTTGTGCAGGCGCGGTGAACATGCTATATCCTGTCGCGAGGCGTAACGGCGTTCATTGCCATATTCTATGTGTACAGTGTACAATGCAGAAACCATATTGAAAGCAATACGTGTGCATCCGATTCAGTAGCTAAAAAAGTGTTTATGTGCTAAAAAGTGCGAAATAGTCTTTTGTTGTGTGTTGTGCAACGTTTCAAACAATGCTAAATAATATAATTATCGTCATGACGACTGAAGATTTATTAAGAACGTGGAATCTCGAGCAATATGCTTCAGCGTATTAGGCTACATGTAGCTACAGCTAATAAAGTTAGTTGTAACACCTAAATTATGTTGCCATATTATCTTGATGCTACAGTTATATATAATCGGCAGCTATATTTCTTATAAAGATAGTTCTAGCTACACTATCAAAACTCATATTGCAATATAGTAATTCATATTTGGTAATGAGATCTAAATTTTCTAGAAGAGATTGCTAGAATGATGCTGCTATAAATTCTATATGTGGCAGACAATATTTTAACAGATACAAAAAATAGCGATATTTTTGGTTGTAACACTTAGAAATCTAGCTTCATTAGCAAAATATTTTTTTGCTATAGCAAAAATCACACAACCGAAATTTCGGCCGAAATTTAATTATTGTTTCAATAAATTATGATATTTATGAAGAAAAAGTATATGATATATAGGCATGTCTATACATATGGCCTTTATATAACTTACTGTTCAAGCGTTACATAATTATTTTGTGATAAGCCTATATAATTTCAAATATCTATATTTAGCTAAATTTTTAAATATGTCAGCAAAACCGGTCTTTCCGTATATTATTTCAAAATTTTGAAATAATTTTCAATATTTGTGATAACGCGCAGATTATATATCAAGTTTACTTAATTTGTTTCCATGATGCTATATGTATAATTTATGATATTTTATTTGAGTTTCAGAAATAATGCGATTTTATTTTTATAAGTATTTGATTTTTAACGGGTAATCTATCTTATGAACAAGCTTATTAAATATTTTGATAATGTCATCGTTTTCCCAGATGTATAATCGAACATACAAAGCGAACTATTATCTGTCTTCTATGTGATATCTGTAAGGATATCTCGTGCTGATAAGCTGACTTTGTGGAATATATAATTAAAATGTACACTAAAAATTACGAGGAAATCCTTCGAAACGATGATAAACAATGTCATAATTCTACACGCAAAAAAATATTTTGCTGATGGAGCTAGATTTCTAGGTGTTACAACTAAAAAGTATCACTATTTTTCGTATCTGCTAAAATATGTCTGCCACATATAGAATTTATAGCAGCATCATTCTAGCAATCCCTTCTAGAAAATTTAGATCTCATTGCCAAATATGAATTACTCTATTGCAATATGAGTTTTGATAGTGTAGCTAGAACTATCTTTATAAGAAATATAGCTGCTGATTATAACTGTAGCATCAAGATAATATGGCAACATAATTTAGGTGTTACAACTAACTTTATTAGCTGTAGCTACATATAGCCTAATACGCTGAAGCGTATTGCTCGAGATTCTACGTTCTTAATAAATTGGTAAACCTTCGGATGAACTGCATATTCGAAATCATACAAACGACCACGTGTTTTTGATGTATTTTTGGCTCCTGAAAACGAATATGGCAGCAGAAATTGGCGCTCGGCCGTATCTTGGCCGCAATCTTGAAAAAACAGCTGAAAAACGACATTTTTTTAAGTTTCTTGTATTTATTTCGAAATATACGATCGTACAAAAAAATGTTTCAAACAAAAATTGTAGAGCATGAAATTCTCTATAAAAAAGATTCTACACATTTTTGTCCTAATCACAAAAGGAAGCCCGTAAAACAGCGATGAAAGTGACTAGT